TCCAGCAGTTTTTTAATTGTTATGCTGTCATCCTTTCGGGTCTTATTTAAGTCACTTATATCCTTGGTAATGCTGGATAAAGCGTCCTTAATTTCTAGGAGATCAGCGTTCGCAGCATTCGCCCCTGTCGCCATCTTGCATCTTCATACATAGAGAATAAAACTGGATACATATGACACATGCACATCAAAAGGTGCATTAACAAACAGTTAAAGAGCTCCAATGTAACAAAAAGAGGTAGTACTGTAGCAATACTATTTTTTCCCTTTTCAAGTAATAACAAAAAAATCATAAGTTTTGGTCACATTTGACCCAGACACATTACAAAGTGCATTTAAATGAATACAGAAAGAACTGCCAAACCCTTCAGTGCACAAACCCATAACAAGGGATACGGGTAACTATATGAATGAATACTACACGTCTACTATAGCAAACTAGCTGCTTACTATCACCTCATTTGTGATTTGTCATCGCTGACTTTCTCAATGGGAGAGAATTGACATTTTTTGTTTTGAACAAGAGCAGTGATTGTTGGCTCATAGGATGTCGATGCAATCCTAAGACATTGGTGAAGAGTGCTGTCAGTCAGGGAGCAGCGAGTGGCACTTTTTTTTTTAGTTCATGTGTGAAAAGCTTGATTCATATTCATGATTTTAGTGCTGTGGATAATGTTCAAATGATTCTCGCACAAAATAAAATTCACTAGATGTTGGGGTACTCTGGGGTTGTGAAGGGTGGATGAGTCTTTGTTAATTATCATGACATGGGATTTTCCCACAGATGATTTAATTCAGTCTCAGAGGTGACCTCATGCTTTATATTGTGTGGCTCATTGTACAATTATTTGGAAGTGGAGCTGTAGTGAGCATTAGCGATGTGGCTTCAGTTAGCTTCAGGTAGTAAAGAGATGCATCATTAAAATGGCACCATTTCTTTTTTCCTACCTTCAGTTGGCGTGTTATGACCAGGCCAAGCAGCTGGTGCTGGGCACAGGCATGATGGGGGATAACATACTCACACACTTTCTCTCCAGCTTCATCGCTGTGAGTATCAGGTTCATTCTTGTGTTATGTGGCTCAGTGTAAAGTTTACAGGACTCTTTAAACTAATGGTAAGTTTCCCCGCAGGGAGGTTGTGCTACATTGTTGTGTCAGCCTCTGGACGTACTAAAGACGAGGCTCATGAGCTCGAAGGGCGAGTACACAGTAAGTGGACCCCCCCTCTCACCCTTCATCACTGTCTCCTTTAATCCCTTCATTCCTCTGTTTCTCTTTGTCCATCTCCCTTCTTTCCTCAGCTTTATTCTCATCCAGTGTGTCTCTCTCTTTAGGGGGTGAGGCATTGCTTACAAGAAACTGCCAAGCTTGGTCCCATGGCATTTTACAAGGTAAGACAACAATACTACAGAATATAAGAACACACCACTCGTTGTTTAGTGCAGATTTAAATCAAAAGTTAAAAACAACAAGATCAATATCTTCTTAGCATGCTATAATTAAACTCTATAGAATCGAAAATAATACTGTTGATACTATTAGTTTTAGTTGATGTTTTTTGATAAGTGACAAGACGACAACTCCCCTTTAGCCTTTCAGCTAACCTCCCCCCCTTATCTACAAATATTGACCCATGTCTCTTATTCTGCTGGCTATAAAGTAGCCAGTAAACTGTAGCATTATAAGCACTTAAAAAACTGTACCTGCAGTTATCAAATGTGGATGCCTTTGTCAAGCTCAACACCCATCATGCCTGTTACTGCATGTGTTCTATGGTTTTGGTTCAACTTTGTTTACATTGTCTCACAATATAACACGTATACACACTTTAATGCGTGAGGCAGCATTTTTGATGCAGCTCCAAATGACTTTATTCTTACTTTAAACAAAAAGTAATGTCATCCCCTCTTTCCCCCCGTTCCAATACTGTCCCTACAATAAAGGCTCTGGTTGCTCAAAATCGTTAAAAAACAGACAAAAAGCGAAATTGTTTGACAAAATTGAATGTTG